AAATGTAATGGATGCAAGCTTTGGTAGGAAGTTCAAACCTAGCTGTAATTTCAGTATCTTACCACATAAAGGTCACCTACACCAATAAAAACAGGACAGTTTGAATCTGTAAAATACTTGTGTATCGATGAACACAGTAATATCCTGATTTCCAAATAACAGCTAGCTTTAACAACATATCTCTTTAAATCATAAAAGTTCTTTGTTAGATTTTTATGTGTATTTTTTGTTTATACTGCAAACAACTAAAATGTTTTCAGAGGCTATAGATTCTCTTCTTTTTTGCCTGCTATGTGATTTTATGTGGGTGTATTTGCGAATGTGTGTGTAGACCCCCTAAGAGCAGGAAACAGCGGCTCAATAGGACAAATGGTGCAGTCAGATAAACAATCTCTCTGCAGGCTCAGACAGGCCAGAACAAAACACATACGATGACCTGAGTCAACTCTACACATAAATCCATTTTCATAAATAGAGCTCACATAAAACCTACTCTTACTATACGAACATACACTTGTCGCACAATCATGCACTTTTACAGCAACACACAGGGACCCTACAGATCAATAATGCGGAGAAATGTCACTAAAAAGTGACCGCAAACTACAAAGATGTGGAGTGTCAGACAACATTTTTGTTGATGACAGAATAAAAAACATGTTTTTATAGCTTTCTGTTAGCTTTTCATTTCAATCAGAGCACATCTTCTGTAGGTCTTGCTTTAAAAAAAAAATAATGCCTGTAATAGCCTTCATGTACTACATGTAAATTTAAGACTGTACTGATTTGATCAAAAATAAGTTACAGGCATATATATAAATAACTTCTGAGTGCAAAGTACTGTTAATTTCGCACATCCAATCCAAGATGACTAAATAGACCACAGGGAAAATGGGGGTGATGGAGGAAATCAAAGTGGGGTGAGGAACAAAAAGAAAGAAAGAAAGGCTGAGAGGTTGGAGGTTTATACAGGCTACATATTTTGTAGCAAACTGAAAAGGCAAGACCTCCTCCCTGCTCTCCACAGTGAAACCCCTGTCTCACAACAGAGGACCAGATGGAACAATCATTGTTTGAATAAAAGGTTGCTCACAGCCACCACAAATGATCAACAAAACCCTGACACTCCTCCTCGCCCCACTCTCTGCCTCTTTGGATCAACAGGGAAGTCATGGGAACACTTGCCAAATGGGCAAAGGGTGAACTAGCATGTGAGTGTCGAAAAGGTTAAAGCGTTGAGGATGAAGTCTGTGCTTTCTAAGCAGAGGTCACTAGAATGGACTCTACACTTCCTCTCACATACGCATGCTTCTAGTCTTTTTCTTACTCCAAATACGAATAAATATGTAATGAAAGACACCCGCAATTACTTAAAGGTCACAATTCACAAGCACTCCCAAAAAGTGAAGACGTTATTTGATGAAATAAATAAATATTTGTAACACTTTACAGCAAGGTTTTATTTGGTAACATTAGTTAATGCTATGGCATCATAATAACAATGGGCAACAATTACAGCATAATTTTAAAGTGTAGGTTAATGTTAATTTATGCATTATTGTTCATTTGTTTATTTCATGTTCATTCATATTGCATTCAATAATGTTAATTTACACAACTTGAAAAATGAGATAAATTCTGTAAAAAAATTGTTCAATGTTAGTTTGCGAGGCATGAACTAATGTTAACCAAGAATGAGTCACTTAATTCTTTTGTTTTAAAATGATTGTTCAGACACTGTAAGATAATAACGATAACAGAAAGACCACTCAAATTCCAATCCCTTAAGATATCCGTGTGTTTTAAGCAACAAATTACCTTGCTGTTCAGTATGCAATATTCAGTATGCTTTATTATTTTATTAATCAGACAGTAACAGAATAAGTTCACTGAAGAGATAAATATTGACCATATGATACAGAACAAAATATTCATAAAACTTTTTTTAAAACCCAATATATTGCACTGGAACCCATGCCTTCTGCTTTCTCCTTTTCAAAAACCTCTAATAAATTGTAGCCTTGAATTGCACTGCAACTCAAAAAACTAAAACAAAACAACAGCAACCTAAAACCAGACACTAATTAGTATCAATGTCAGATCCTTTTCCCTGTAAATCAATGAAAGAATTTCTTCCTCTTCTTACTGCCTTCATGCATCTCAATGACGGCTAAAGAGCTTAAATGAGCAAGAAAATACACAGCAACAAAACACATTCAGAAATTCAAATTACACACATTTTACATTGCTTTGTCCTTTGAAAGTAAAAGTAAGGAGATTTCCATATAAGAACGGAAAAATGTGAGATTTCTTGGAAAATCTCATCTCTTATGTAATAATGCAGTACAAAATGGAGTGTGTATTAATAATGTTGGTGGTGAAGTACTGAACATGGAATATACTTCAATAGGGTCTCCACTATATGAAGAAAAATAGGATATTAGAGAAAAGTAATTAATGGCAAAATAGTGCTTGCTGACAGTGTATCACTGATGATGAGATGGGCTAAAATAAGCTATGGATTAAAAACTTGGTTTTAATAAGATAATGGAAGGACATGTAAGGTCCAGCCGTAAATAGCTACTTGAGAAAACATTCAAGTATGAATTAATTATAATGAAGCACTATACAGAACCATAGTCATGATGATCTGTTGGTTGAATGAAAATAAATCATAGCAAAGAAGGGCGGAGTGTAATCGGATGCTGCCAACATTGCTTACAATCTCCCCTGAACATGGCGGAGTAAATGGATCAACACCAAAACAAAAGAACCATATCATTAAAGTCTGGGTGATAAAATCTTAAAACCAGACTAAATTCAAAGTGACAGTGGGCTAAGGCAGGGGCACAGACCTCACTTGCTCTTAGAGGTATTACAGCACTTAAATAAAAAATGGCCATTAAAATACCCACTTCACTCAGTTAATAGATGTGGACTGTTTCATGCAGTAGAACATCATCATGCCAGTCAAAAATACATATTGCTAATAGTCAGGTATGGAATTGTGGACATACACATATTTGCAAATCACTTAAGTAATTTAAGGCTGTTGTGTTTCTAAGGACTCCATGCCAATAAAAGTCAAATAAAGTCCAAATCAATTAGAAGTTTTACAGAAAAAGATAAAAAACTGTTGAGTATTTTAGCAAGGCTCTAACATATTTTAAATAAGAAATAAAAAGTTGTAACAAACTGAATTTGTTATCTCATACTCTCAGTACAACTGCTTTCTAAGATTTAAGTGACAATCAAAATTGTTCTAACTACTACAGTACATGAGAAAACTCTGCTCTAAGTGTTCTGAAATAAATTCAAACATTTGTGGCAAATCTACATGAGTTGGCATGACTGAGTAAAAAGCACTGTTGGCTTGAAGCCCATTTACAGTTTCAGCCCGTTTGCTAGCTTTGTTTTGTCCCAGACTACATGTGACCCTGGGCCACAAAACCAGTCTTAAGTGTCAATTTTTCAAAATTGAGATTTATACATCATCTGAAAGTTGAATAAATAAGCTTTCCATTGATGTATGGTTTGTTAGGATCGGACAATATTTGGTCAACTATTTGAAAATCTGGAATCTGAGGGTGCAAAAAAATCAAAATATTGAGAAAATCGCCTTTAAAGTTGTCCAAATGAAGTTCTTAGCAATGCATACAACTAATCAAAAATGAAGTTTTGATATATTTACAGTAGGAAATTTACAAAATATCTTCATGGTACATGATCTTTACTTAATATCCTAATGATTTTTGGCATAAAAGAAAAATCTA